GCCATCCATACTTCTGGCTACATAATTTGTGATCTCTAGAAATGTTTATAGAGCTACATTTTCAGAATGAGCCTATGTTGCATCATTCCCACGGTAAGAGGAGTGTGGTGAAGAATATTGTGGCTGAAGCTAGCTAAATATTATTTGATCAATTAAAAAATAACAATGTGCAAATAAATTGATTTCACATGGAAATGCTCTTTAAATAAATTGCTTTTATTGGTTATTTAAACAATGGGCAAAGATTTGTGTTTTGTTTCTTGTGTCTATCAATAATTGATGAAGAAAAATGACTTGAAATCTTTTCTCACTGAAACAGATTTCCCTTGATTTTTCTGTTGCTATATTGTTTACCGGGGGCTAAATTTTAAAAATTCTCTCATTAGTTTTTCAGTTTAAAATTTTAGTTTTAAACCCTTTTTTTTTTTACATATTCTTAACGTTTTAAGTTAAGTAGGCTGTACACTGTTAACAATTTCATATAGAATCCTATTGACAGTAGTTCGCCAGTAACTTACTGTAAATCAATTAGTATTTACATTTAGAGCACCATTAATCTAGCTGTATATGTATGTACAGTATTGTATAATTTTACTGTAAATATACAGTGATTTTCACAAGCTTTAAAATACAGTAACATACAGCAAAAGTAAAACACAGTTACTATTACTGGTAAATAGTGTTTAATTTGAAAAAATCTGTTAATGGTGTATAAACATATTTGCAACATAGGTCAAATGGTCTGAAATTAAATTAAGCGTACATTTAGCCATATTTTGAAATATGTTGCATTTATAACATTTTACATAGATCAAATTCAAATATAAACTTGTTTGTCATTTTTATATTTCCATGCATCAGATTTTCGAATGGGAAAATTTATTGTTTTTTTCCTTAAACATGGTAAACTACAGTAGTTCCTAGTGTACTTACTTCCAAATAAACTGCCCAAGGCATGACCAGTGAGGCGACCAACAGATCAGCCACTGCCAGACTGACCACCAGGTAGTTGGTGGTGGTCTGAAGAGCTCTCTCTCGAAGCACAGCAATGCAAACCAGAACATTCCCAAACACGATAGCCAGGATGAGCAGGGAATAGAGCATGGCATAATAATTCCTCTTCGCTTCTTCAACGCCTGACGCTGGGCTGTAGTTTCCCCCAGGGGTGAATGAATGCTCAGAGTCATTCCAGAGCCATTCACCACTGCTAAACATTGCCATAAGTGTGGAAGATCTGGAGAGGGTGGACAGATTTTGACTTTTGCAAAATAAATGCTTGACAACATGCAGTGTAACATCTTTGTACATCTGTTTGAATCCTTGTGTTTGTCTACTGACATCTCTGAATTTTATATTCTGCAAAATTCTCGGTAAACAATTCACTGCTCAAGATGACATGCTGCTTGCTTGGTGACTTGAGACACAGGGCAGCTTTTATAACGTTGAAATGTCTAGTTATTGATAGCAGCTATAAAAAAAGTCACAAATATATATTTTATGAAGATTCATGGTAAGCAATGCTCAGGGTAACCTGGGTTTGCAATATCAGATTCACCATAGCTTATCCAGTTCAACTCTTTATATTTTTATTCCATTAATAAATTAAAGCTAACAAAAAAAGAGCATTTAATTAATTTAAATATTTTCTGGAAAAAAATCTTGAATACTTTTTGCAAAGATTTTAAGACACCCATTGATTCATTAACATATTCATATTTATTTATCCCAAATCATAACTAAATAACTTTAACATAGAAATAAGATATTTCAAAACACATTAAAGATCACAATATCTAAAAGTTGTATAGCTAATTCCTCAGTGATTACAATAAAGTCACACAACTCACTGACGCACGAAAAAAAAAATCATGGTTTTGATGATCTGCACAAAAGCGCCTTGAAAGCCAGAGCGAACGCGTGCATTTAATGACTCTGTTCTGGATAACATCTATAACCATCTATCATTCAGTGCTTCATTGAACCCCCTGAATGCCCAATTTACGATGTGTCTACCTGTTAAGCTTCTCCAGCGAAGAACCGAAACAGAACCCCATCTGAACGCACTTTCCTTGAGGTTAAACTTATCGGTCCAGTCGCCCTTCGCCGTTGCCGCTGTGGAAGGGACTCCATCCTTACCGCGTACGCAAAACTTACTAATACACAGCTCCAAATATGCTTACTCGCGACGCTTTTGAGCATTGAATGATGCCCACAATGGTTTCGCGCACAGCCAGATTCGCAAGGATGGTTACAAGCTCCGCGCCATCTCCAAAAGCTCCTTTACGCACGAAGCGTCCCTGCTTTCATTAGTACAGTGGTTGGTGGTACAGCAAACATGTTTTGAAGGTAATCCGGGAAGGTGAAAGAACTAAACAGAATCTCAAAATCCCCAATTGTACATCATGTGGGAACTCTAAAGGTATTCGCGTTCCTCCGACGTTTTCCGAAGGATGTCTACGCTGTTCGCACTCAAGCTGTGATCATTAACGACTGTCTGAAAATAGCTGTTACCTGTGACAAACCCAGAAGACCGAGCCACCTCTAGCTGACCTGCTGATTAAACGTGTTTCTAGTTTATAAAAATTGACTGATTATGAGTTTTGAGGTTATATTTGGGGTTCCAGGGCTAGTGGTTACAAACCTGGCGAATGTTTTCAAGTTTATTTTTTATTGTTCATACACTTAAAAAACGGCATAACAAAAAAAATAACAATTATGTCCATCACTGTATGAAAGAAATAGTGAAAACCTGGGATAAACCTGGTCAAACATCTGTGACAAATTGTAATTGTTTAATTGCAAAATAAAGTAATTTGTTTAAATTGATCCTCTTATTAACTTCTCCTTAATATACTGTAACAAAAAATAATAATAATACATCAACTATTTAATAAAAGGTAGAGAAAATACAGTAAATAAACAATTCTGAAAGTTTCCTTTTATCAAACTATTGTTTTTAAAATTATAACAAATAAATCTAAAATAAAAATATACTTTAAAAAAATTTTTTTTTTCACTTTTCTTGGTATTTGAAACACGCAGCAACACTGAACTTGCAGTTGGATTTTGGACTCAAAAGGTTGTTCATGCCAAGAATAATAGATTAACTGTAAACATAACTGTGATGATGTCAACCTTAATGTATTATATAGAGCACAACAAGACTGATATTTGACTTGGCCATCCCTCATTAAATCAGCTTATTTTAAAAGCACTTGTTTAGTAATTGTGATGCTAGAAAAAAACTACATTACCCATGATGCTGTACAGAAAATGCCATCAATCAGAGATCTGCAGCAATCAAAGAGCAGCAAAAGACAAAAGTAATGCTCAACCATAACTTCCAGCTCTCCCAGAAATAACATGTAAGTAGAGTTTGACTGAATCAACCTGCATGTTTATAGACCTATTGGATGGAGTTACGGTTTGGACCACCTAGCTCCACCCATTGTGTCCAATGAGTGGGATAGTTCAGTGCATGACTGTTACACTTTAATGAGGACTTGGAGAAAGTCCTTCAGAAGCAGTTAAAAAAGGAAACTGATGCACTTTAAGTCTTAAGCTTTTGGATTCTGTTTCAGTCCAAAGACATGCTGTAATTGAGTAAACTAAATTTATCATATTGAATAATTGTGTGAATGAGAGATTGTAAGAGTGTTTCTCAGTGCTGGGTTGTAGCTTGAAGGGCATTTGGCACATAAAACATATGCCAGAGTAATTGGCAGGTCATTACGCTGTCGCAACCTCTGATAAATCAGGGACTAAGCCAAATGATATTGAATAGGTGAGTAATAGTCAGACATCATATCTAAAACAAGGCTAAATTTAGGTTGTCATTTTAATAGACGGCAAAAAATAGTCTAAACATAGACTAAAATTGACAGGACTGAATTACTACACATGTGAAATCTGTCTATTTGATGACTAGTCTAGTTTTTTTGGACTATTGTTAGACGTTTGTTAAATTTTCATTGACACCCCAAATTTAACCTTGCTTTAGTAAAGACAGTTGTTTACACTTCTATTAGACATCTTTTAAGCAAAATTGTTTGGTTATATTTAACCCAAATTTATTTTAAATCAAATTTTTTACAGTTATTTTGATAGATTTCTTTGATGTGATACTGGGGAAGTTTTTAGTCTCTAGATGGCGCCCACGTTATACTTTTAATAACACAATAAACACAACAGCTGCAAAAAAGAAAGAAAGAAAACAGCAGTCAAGAAAGCACCAGACTCTGCTTGCATTAATGTTTAAGTTCAGAAAATTCACTAAGGTCATTGAGGTTATAAACTACATTACTATTTGAAATATATTCAAGACTCAGTTGTTATAGACAGGCAAAGAAATTAGATGTCTAATTTTTAAAGTTATTTCAATGAAAAGTAATTACTAACTCTTATATACTGCCCTTTAAATCTTTTAGTTGCAAAATAGCGTTGGTCCAGTAGATCCTCTTATACTGATGAAATATGAGACATAGAAAAAATACCCTGCTGAAAAAACAGCTTAAACCAGCATAGGCTGGTTGGCTGGTTTTAGCTGGTCAACCAGGCTGGTTTTAGAGGGGTTTGGGCCATTTCCAGGCTGGTTTCCAGCAATTTCCAGCCTGGTCTTAGCTGGTCAGGCTGGAAAATGACCAGCTAAAACCAGCTTGGCCAGCCTGGTTTAAGCTGGACATAGCTAGTTTTGGCTGGGCTTCCAGCCTGGCTAGGCTGGTCATGCTGGTTTTAGCTCCCAGCCTGACCAGCTAAGACCAGGCTGGAAATGGCTGGAAACCAGCCTGGAAGTGGCCAAAACCCCTCTAAAACTAGCCTGGTTGACCAGCTAAAACCAGCCAACCCTCCTAGGCTGGTTTCAGCTGTTTTTTTCAGTAGGGGAGAAGGCAAAAAGGACCAATTAAGTGAAACAGACATTTGGAATAAGGAGAAAGCATGAAACTAAATAGACACTCCAGATATATTTACAGTAGCTCTCTTGTGCCAAACAAAAAAAATGTTTTGTATTTTTTATTTCACAAAGCAGATCATTGGTAAGGACCCCATTATGAAAGACATGGACATTTATCATAGTTTGTTCTCATCACTCAGTGCAAAACAAGGTTCCAAATCCAATACCTGGACATCGACTGCTTACAGTATGTCTGATAGACTGCCTAGCCTATTACTCCAAATGTAATTTTCACAATAACAGCGCTCTGTAAATTGACACTCAAATAATTCTCTTCAAGATGAACGAGGGAAGGTCCATTGATTTGAGTGCAGTCTGATGAAAAATGTGCCAGCCTTGTTTTGTGTTCGGTATCACTATGACAGCTATTTACTGAAGTGTAGCAGAGCACATCCAAATAACCCACAATGAAATGAACATCTGAGCACCTGCTGTGACCGTGAACTCCTGGCCATAAGAATAAAACCGCCTTTATTTTGCCTAATTGCATTATCGCCCCCTGGTGGAAACAGAATGTCAAAATATAGACAGAAGAACAACGTCCAAAGCTATTAAAATAATTTTAAGCCGTTTAATACGAAACCTTTTCTTCCAATTTGAGTACATACATTTTTCCTTAATGGCTCTTTTGATATTATGTTGACAATCAGGTTTTATAGTTGGTGGGAAACAGCATAGTTAAAACACTGCTTTTGAAACAATGTATAATACTATGTCACAATTGTATCCCATTTACATCTCTTACATTGAAGTGCAAGCAGAGAGTACACAAACTGATCTGTTCATGTGACATTGATACTTGTTTCATTCCTCAATTTCTTTCCCAAAGGCAACAACAACTCTTTTAAAGCTTCCAGAAATAAAACAGTTGTGGCATGGGGAAATTAAAACAGGTCAATTAAGCACATTTGCAAATATACATTCACTTTGGTTTTCACAGCCCAATGATTTTAGTTGAATTCAGTCTGAAGGAGCAATTATTTCAAGTATTTATCTAAATAAATACTTGCTTCACCAATTCTCTCACATTTGGCTTAATGAAATGTGAATACTAGCATAATAAAATGTAGGAGTACTAATTAATTTGATATTAATTAGGCAATTTACACAGCTTTTTTATATTACATTTGTAAACTTTTTTAAATATAAAACTATATAAAAATACATTGACATTGGCTTCTAAAGTCCTATGCTTGTTTGAGGAAATTACATTTTGATAGAGGTATAACAGTGTGTATCTCAATACTATCATTTTGATAATTCATGAGCGATTAAAACTATGTGAAACATCCAATGTCCAGAGCCCTTTATTTTTTCAAAATTGTAAACACATTTGAAACGTATTACTGTTCACATTTCAGTATTACAAGTCTGAACAAGACTTCATCCATTCAATTATAATCCATATTATAATAATTGATGAGTCATTATAAGTTGTATAAAAATACAAGGTGTTCACATCTTTGCAAAATATGAAAAATGGTCACACTTGAGTTCCCTATAGTAAACTAACTTTATCTAACAATGAACAAATCATTTGTTATATGATTTATCAAGTTTAAACATGTTTGAAAGTTATTTAATAAAAATGGTAATTATTCATAGTTCATGTTCACTCAGGTCAATTAAATAATATTAACAGATGCAACTTTCGTCACTTTACAGTTAATTTTAACAAATGGAACGTGTTGGTTTCAATCAAGTGTGAATATATAATTCTATCTTCTATTTCCAGATTAAGGCTCTGAAATAATATGAACATTACAGCAAATTAAAGTTAAAGTTGCTCAATTCTTCTCACGCTCCTCCCAATCAATGTATCCTCCTGCATAATGTCGTGCCCTGAAAAACACAAAGCAAGTATTGCATCGTTAACAGTAAGGAATATGTAATTAATTGAATCATCTTCATATTATGTGTTCTAGACCATTAGTGTAACTTAATAATAATAATAATAATATACGCATTTCCACATAATGATGTTATTTCAGTTTAATTTGGTCAAACAGAACCCAAAAATAAATTAATTTTGAACCAATGAAATCAAATCAATTTTAATTGGAATTATGTAGTGAATTTAATGTGGACAGTTAATCTGAATCAATTAATTTAGACAACCAGAATTTTCCTAGTGCTGGGTTAAAGCTGGAAAAGCATTCACTGTGTAAAACATGCTGGATGAGTTGGCGTTCATTCCGCTGATTAAGCCGAAAGTAAATGAATGAGGTAATGAATATATTACAATTTTTATCATATATATATATATATATATATATATATATATATATATATATATATATATATATATATATATATATATATATATATACAAATAAAAAAAATATGTCTCAAAACTGACATTATTTACCATAGTATTTGCTCACTGACTGTATCAGCTAACAATACCAGCATAAGCACACTTGGTAACCTAAGAAAACGATAATGAAACTCTTCTAAATCTCCAAACTAAGTGAAGAAAAAACTCCAACAAGTTTCTCTTTACTCAAAGGTTCAGTGAAGTGTTTTGAAAGGAGCATTTTATTATAATATGTGATGTAATTTAAACTAAAACAGAAGACAGGGCAGGACATAGTTTAGCTCCTCCCCTATTTAAAAAAACAGTCAATAGCGACAAATCACAAGCTGTAGAGCTTTATATCTTTTTAATACAAGGGTTGTCGCTGTTTTAGAGAACACTAGCTTATAGATATCCTTTAAACTAACATACTGTTAGTAGCCTAACATCTAATAAAAATATGTTGATGTAATGGGGACTTTAAAGCCCATATAATCCCTTTATTGACAACATTTCTCCCTTAAAAAGCATGCTAGAAACAACACATCCACCAAGCAATTCGATATGCAAATATATGATGAAATAATTCATCATCCCAAAATAAAACACTTAGCTTTACCCTTTTTTCCCAAATTTAAGTGGTTAACAATACAAATAAACTAACTATAAAAAAAGAATTGTGTTGCTTCTACTCATCTTAAGCAAGTCATTTGAACAAGCGGCAAAAATATTTTTTTCGAGCATGTCATTTTTATATCTTACTTAGAGAATCCCAGACGATGAGCAGTTTCGAGAGCGGTCAAACTCCTCTTCCCACTCCGACAATGAAAAACAATGTTATCGTCCGCTTTTTGGGGGGCTTTCACTTTAAACTGCTCTTCAAACTTTTCTGCGGGGAGCTTCAGAGACACCTCAAGCTCTCCTACTGGGAGATACAGTAAAGTGTAGACTGAGTACATGCACTAAAAGTAAAATAAATAAAAACATTTCATTTTTTATGTTCTGAATAGAGACTTACATGGAACGTTGACCGAATCTGGGATGCGGCCAGCCTGAAATTCATCTGGATTCCTGACGTCAAAGAGCTGCACGCTGTGATTGGCCAGCATGCCTTTGAGCTGTTCATATGTCACAACCGACACTGAAACGTCAAAATCGGGAAGTATTAATGTATTAATGATAATGTAAGATCAGTGTTGAATAGGGCTGGGCGTTTAATCGAAAAGTAATTGAAATCGACATTTATAACCTATAATCGATCTATTTTTTCCAGGACAATTTTTTCAATTACTTTCCCTACAGCATGTGGAGTCACATGACCCTGCTCTGTTAAGGCTGATTTATACTTCTGGCGCAGCCTTCGCACGGTCGCATAGCCGCGCACCTCTTAAAAAATTTAACTAAACGTTGCACGTTTGCACTACATTGACAATGGTTGGAAGCTGTGCCAGAGATGCCTTGAGGCGGCATATTTTATTTTACATTAAAATTATTATTTACATGAAAATGTTTGTTTACAGAAGATTCAATGCACTGTTTAATATATTATTTACATTATTTTTTTATAAAAGATACTGTTAATTTTCTACTTTTGAAAACAACATTTTTGTTATTTGTGTTTCTTTCATTTATTTTAAAATCAAGTAATGCACTCTTCATTCAGAAATCTCTCACGTGTAATCTTTGACCATATTTACTGTACAAAACCTGTCAGTGAACTATGAGGGCAAAAAATAAAATAAATAAACAAAATAATCACTCATTAACCGTAATCAAGCTAAAATGGTCAACTAATCAAGATTTTAATTGAAGGCCAAATCTTCAGCTCTAATGTTAAATATAAATCAATATAATGATGTTCATAATTAACACCAGTGAAAATCATGCAAGATAAACAAAAATATTCTGCTATAAAAAAACTTCTGACTATTCATGGTTGGTAGACGCATAAAGGCTGTGTGTTCGACAAAAGAATAGTCAAACAATTGTTTTGCACCAGCTAGCAGAAAAAAAAAAACAAAGGCTAAAAATAACACTTTAAAGGGGTAAATGCTAATACTTTAAATATTAAACGTTGCTTTAATTGCATTTTAACATTTTAACATTAATACACTTTAACATCAGTCATTGCATTAATTAACAATGAGCAAAACATTAGTAATGTAAATTTATCAGTTAAAAACAGCCGTTCATCGTTAGCTATTTCTATTAAATATTAAATACAATTAAATAAAAAATTAATACATAAGAAATAACGCATTTATTAATGTTATCACAGTTAAATTAATTAACATTCCCTAATACATTATTAAAATAAAACTGTAATTAACATCAGGGTTAATGAATGGGTTAGAAGTATTTTTGTTAACACTTTAAAATAATGATCCGTCAGTTATTGTCTTTAATAACCTTTACAAACAATCAATACATTATTGACTGTATTTATTCATTTTGTTAACATCAGTAAATGAAAATAAAGTTTTTGATTGTTAGTTCATATTAACTCCCAGTGCGTTAAGTAATGTTAACAAGCAGAACTTTAGATTTTAGTAATGCATTATAAAATACAGATCTTGTTTATAATTACAGTAAAATTAACAAATATATGAACTTACATTATCCAATTTAACTTTTTTTAAATTACCATATTTTTTATGTTAATTAAAATAGTTACACAGTAATAGTAACACAAGTTAAACATTTTAAACCTTTTGTGTGCTTTTTTTAAATGTCAAGGTTAATAATCAAATAGAAATAAATTGGGAATTGGTCCAAAGTCCAAAGTGCTACATAATAAAATCGTCCTTTAGCCTACCTGACATTGCAGACTTCACTGAAATATAGTATATGAGAAAAAAATATGTAAACATAAGACGATATAGTTTTTAACTGGGCAAAAAAAGTAATTCCAGCTATTTTGAGAATATGTTGTGGCTCTGGGAGCTCTACCTGCACCAGGTTGTCCGTGACTGTGATTGATGTTGGATGTCTTGATTCCACATGCTGACAAAATTCTACCATGGCAAACCGGTTTAGTGAGGGCAAACACGCCCAGACGACGTAAAATCTGAAACGATACCATCTCTAGCGGTTGCAGTGCAGTCACTGTGACGGTGCAGAGGAGAAAGCGGTTTGACTTGTCTCTGGAGCCTGCAGTGCTTACAGGCAAAGACTATAGATATCCGAGAGTCAATTATCGGCTGCCCTCTAGTGGCAGGAATGAGTCCCGGTGAACGACAACGAGAGGAAATAGTTCAGGTTCAGAAGATTCATTCATTCATTTTCTTGTCGGCTTAGTCCCTTTATTTATTCCAGGGTCGCCACAGCGGAATGAACCGCCAACTTATCCAGCAAACATCCACACACATATTCACACACACACACACACACACACACACACACACACACACACACACACACACTACGGACAATTTAGCCTATCCAATTCACCAGTCTAATTCAGTCCAACCGGAGCACCACGCGAACGCAGGGAGGACATGCAAACTCCACACAGAAACACCAACTGAGCCAAGGCTCGAACCAGTGACCTTCTTGCTGTGTGGCGACAGCACTACCTACTGCACCACTGCTTCGCCCTAGTTCAGGAAAGATGAAGACCAAATTTAATTTCATTGTACCTTGTAATTTTTTAGGACTGTCAACAATCTACAAAGTAAAAGGATGTAAGAGGATGATAGTAGCAGTGGTGACATTATCTGTTTGTACAAATCCCTGTCATTAGCCTACTGATTGATAGTCCTATATTTTTTCTAAATTTTTCTGGTGTAAAAATTGATAGTTTATAACTTTGTGGTAAATTATTATGGTATGCTTTTATATTTTAGATGTAAGGTAGACATATAACTTTTAATAAATACTCTATACTTTTTTCCCTGATGAAACTCATACAGACGTTTATGTGTGGTTTGTCTGACAGCAGGTGTGATATTTAATATTTGAATATACACTGTAAATCCCAACTGTCAACGAGTGTTGAATGAGTTCATTAAATACCTCATTACTTTAACTTAAATGGAGTAAGTTCATAGTATTCATATAGATCAGTTTTTTAAATGAAATGGTTTGTTGCAATCGGTTTCTTCAAATTGTTTGAGTTCCCTTAACTTATTGGGTTTTACAGTGTGTGTGTGTGTGTGTGTGTGTGTGTGTGTGTGTGTGTGTGTGTGTGTGTGTGTGTATACATAAACTATATATATATATATATATATATATATATATATATATATATATATATAATTCTGACTTCAACTGTATATATTTTAAACTCTTTATTTTCATTGAAAAAAAAAATACATACACACAGTACCGCCTATATCCGTACAAGAAAGAGATGATCCATATCAAAAATCTCTTGGAAAGACTTTCACAGTGAATTTGGCTCACAACAAAAAGGAACTCAAAACCCTACATCCCACCCATCTAACATTGATCAAAATGTTTGTAGAAAGTTAGCAAAAAATAAAATAAAAGTCATGCATGAATAACATTTACAATCATATTATGGAACTGGCTAGGACAAAAAAATAAATACAATTGAAGCAATAGGTGTACATAGACAATTAGACCAAAAGATACATTCATTCATTTTCTTTTTGGCTTAGTCCCTATATTAATCAGGGGTCCCCACAACAGAATGAACCGCCAACTTTTCCAGCACATGTTTTAGGCAGCGGAGCACCAGGAGGAAACCCGCGCGAACACGGGGAGAACATGCAAACTCCACACAGAAAAGCCAACTGGCCTAGCTGGGGCTGGAACCAGCGACCTTTTTGCTGTGAGGCGATTACCAAAAGATAAATTCTAAAATAATTATAAGATAATTATAAAGTAAATAATGAAATTAAATAAACAAATAAATTACCATACAACAGTCTTGTAAAAGTCTATATCAGTTCAGTCTATCTAAAAAAATATTATGAATGGTTCCCAAATCTTGTTACAACTGGACAATCTGTCATTTAGTGTGAATCTCTGTTCTCCTAAGTGTAACATATTTCCAAGCTTTCTAGCCCACATTTCAAAGGTGGGGACAGTTTCAGATTTTCACATTTGTAAAATGAGTTTTTTTAAATAATATTATCTTCGTATATTACCTTTTTTATGTAAGACTTAAAAGGAGAAAAACACTGAAAGCATCATATGGTGCGGATGAAAAGATTAAATGTTGCCAGATTTTGATGGAAAAACATGCCTACAAAAACACTTATACAAAAATACAAAAACAACATTCAAAGTGACTCAATAAAAACAAAAAGAGAGTAATAAACCAACATTGTTAAATAATTTTACAAAAGGAGTGATTATGTAAGAATAAAGGAAAAGTGATATGATGATAATACATGAACAAAAGGATTTACTGTATTTATAAATTACTGTTCACATATATTTCTTTATACAAATAATAAAAATACATATGTGTATATGATGGAGGCGCAGTGGGTAGCGATGTCACCTCACAGCAAGAAGGTTCGAGGTCAGTTGGCATTTCTGTGTTGGCATATTGCTGCGTAAGTTGGCAGTTTATTCTGCTGTGGTGACCCTGATTAAGAAAGAGACTAAGCTGAAAAGAAAACGAATGAATGTGTATATGATAACAATTCATTCAGCCATGGCACATTGGCTGAGGCTAGCATGGTTGCCTCACCACAAGAAGGTTGCTTGTTTGAGTTGCTATTTCTGTGTGGCTATTTCTGTGTTTGCTCGAGTTTTCCCCAGGTGCTCCGGTTTCCCCCACAGTCCAAAGATGTAGGTGAAGTTATAGGCAAACTGAATCAACTAAATTGGCTAAATGTGTGTGAATGGGAGAGTCTGTGGTTGTTTCCCAGCATTGAGTGTTGTACTTTCAGTGCTAAGTTGCAGCTGGAAAGGCATACAGCCATCCACTGTGTAAAACAACTGAGTAAACAAATAAGTAAGATGAGATGTAGATATTCAATTTAAATTATATATGATTGGCCTATACAAAATAAATAGATAAAAATGACGTTCATATGAATAAATAAATGTACTTAATAATAATAATAAAATATTATTATTATTTTCATTCATTTATCCATTCATTTTCTTTCTGGCTTAAAAAAAAACATACTCACACTCATTCACACACACACACACTCATACACTGCGGACAACTTAACCTACCAAATTCACCTGTACCGCATGTCTTTGGACTGTGGAGGAAACTGGAGCACCTAGAGGAAACCCACGCAAACGCAGGGAGAACATGCAAACTCCACACAGAAACACCAACTGACCAAGCTGAGGCTTGAACCAGCGACCCAGCAACCTTCTTGCTGTGAGGCGAAAGCAATTATTATTATTATTAATAATCATAAAAATAATAATAATAATAGATTTATCAGGAGTCACCACAGCGAAATGAACTGCCAATTATTTTGGCATATGCTTTATGATTTGTATGAATGCTACAAAATGAGTTATGTGATATAAAAGGTATCTACATAGATAATTTATTATAAGCTATGTATTTGTTTTTAAATATATGTATATAAGCTTATAATGTTTACTTATAAAGCGCGGAGATGGCAACACTGTTCGTTACACAGAACTGGCAACACCGAGAAGCAGACATGCGCTTCGCACACGATGTCCTCTCACAATGCGCATGTGCAGTGTCACTATACCGGCGGAGGCTGAACGGTTGCAGCTTAAACGACGCAGGGATAAACGAGGCCGTTTTGACAGGTCAGTACGCCAGTGTGGATAACTTGTGTCTGTCTGGTTTTATTCCGTCTACATGATGTCAAATTCAAAAGATTATAATGTTAAAACACAGATAAAAGGCGTTAGTCGGACAACCTTGTTGGCTGGGTTAGCAGATAAGCTAACAGAGGCTGCTGCGCAGATCTGGGAGGGGGAGGCGAGTCCGCTGTTAAGACGATATTACTAACAAACCTGCTCTTCAGTCGATGATCACTAGCTCGTGTGGAGCAAAAATGACATTTTGTTAACTTGAATCGATCGTTTCCGCTTCTGTGATGCGATGATCGGTGAGATTGGTGCGTTTGGCGGCTGTTTTTAGGTGTGGATGGTTTGATGGGTCGATCCTCTTCACTGCGGGCTCTAGCACCACTGCCCAAAACACACTGACAGATCCATGCAGCCTCTGTTTTATATTGTTTTTAGTAGTTTGAGACTAAATGTCACAGGTACACTGGCTAGAGATAAATAAATAATAAATGTTATCGTCCGTGGTGGTTGTTTAGCTCAAGCTTTGCGTTTAATCCTTATCTTTTATGAAATATTTTTATCAAAAATAGTGTCAAAGCATTTAGAAATTTGCCTGACATGTTGAAAACCGTCTGATAAACAAACAAAATAAAATCATAGACTAAATTTATAAATAGAAAAAATATATATAGTTTAGAAAAAAAAAGTCTTAACAAACATTTTTACCATGATTTAAAGAAGACACCAAACTGTTTACATGCCAGAAATCATGTCAGACACATTTAAAGCAGTAGTCTTTTGACGATGTATTAGAAGACTGTATGTAAGGATAACAGTGCAGTCCTAAAATAGAAAACATTGCCACAACTACTACTAATAAATAAGAAACATAAATAGTTTGAAGATATTGGGCCAAAGCACCACTGTTGAACAGGGTAGAAATAGCTAAACCAGTGAATAATAATTAATACATATCACCATACTTCCTCAATATTGTTAATTGTTTTATGATCCATTAGGTGTCTGAAATGTTCAGGTTTCATATTAAAGCAAGGTCCTGTCGAACTCAAAATGGGCTGATGTACTTAAATTTAAACATACAATTTTGAGCACTGGTTAATTTTTGTTTCATATTATTGGCATATGCAAAAGGGATTTTGAATGTCTTATTTTATCACTCTGTTGATAAAGTATGTTTGTCAGATTTCACCATATTAGCATAAAATTTAGAAATAAAAGGTTTTGTGGGCATCTTTCAATGACATAATAAAACCCAATTTAAGGATTACAGTGAAGCAAAAAATAATAATTCATTTACATTTCAAACTTTTTTCTTTCTTTTTTACAGATTTATCAGCAAGACAATTGTAATAATTTAAAATAGAATAATGTTAGTATTAGGGCTGCACAATATATCGTTTCGATCAATATTGCAATGTGATCATTCGCAATAGTCATATCGCAGGATATGCAAT